CACGCACAGACAGGGCCCCCCCCCTCACAGCACTCAGTCTATTAGTCACTCACTCACTCACTCACTCACTCACTCAGTCAGTCAGTCAGTCAGTCAGTCAGTCAGTCAGTCAGTCAGTCAGTCAGTTCTGCCTTTCGACAACAGGGGGCAGTAGAGGTGCACCATTCCCGGAAGCACTGCAATACCGGGTCGATGCGTGGAGCGGACGGGGCAAGCCCCACTTCCGGCTCCCTGTTCCAAAAATCCGTTTAATATGTGGTCCCCTCCATGGGGGACGTATCAGATATTAAACTGATAAGAACAGATTTTTTTTTTCTTTTTTTTTTTCACCAGTCAGAGTGGGATTCCCGTCGCTTCATCAACTCGGCCAACCTTCACTCATCATTCCGGCTATTTCAAATTCAAATTACAATTTTTATTTCAACCAATAAAATATTAAAATTATAATCTCCTCTAAGAGGAACTCAAACAAAACATTAACACACCATTAAAATTCAGCCCATATCAAAGTTTAAAATTTAAATATAAAATATATAAACCACAACAGACAGTCAATAAATAAGCAAATGTTAATCACAAAAAACCGTTGAGTGTCAGTGGTTATTTTTAAAATCACACCCCAGGCTTAAAATCCCATTACAATGGGTTTCCGACCCTTGTGAACTTTATAGTGTGACACTGGGAAAAAACATTAACGCACCACCAAGAAAAGCACAGTATAAGGTGCATGCGTTCACAACTCACGTGCCACACCGACCTTCCTGGATGGAGCTCGTACTCACCAAGATGTTAGTGGGGCTATGGCCGCAGAAGGCCCTTCCACCTTTCCTTGGCCTCGTGGTAGCCCCACTGGATGATGTCCCGCTCCATCCTGAAATCCAAGTCCGCCACAATCTTTCGATATAATCCCCAGGCCCTCAAATCTGCCCCTTTATGGATGAGTGCCGACCTAGCATTCCAAAGTTCTCGTTTGGTAATGCTGATCAGCAGCCACATCCAGGGCGGGAAGGGAGTCTGAGGACCTTGGGGCCACCCCATCATCACCTTATCATAGGACAACACAAACTGCGGGTCTAGTTTCCTGCACAGGCCTTGCACTGATCTCCAGACCTCCCTGGCATACCCACAGTCCCAAAAGGCGTGCCTGAGGGTCTCCTCCTCTGAGCACTCGGGACGTGGGCAGCCTGAGTGTCTGGTCAGCTTGTGCCTGTACAGTACATCCCTGACTGGCAGCTTACCATGCACACACTGCCAGTTCAGGTCCTGCAGCCGGTTATCCAACCCCTTGGGCTGGATCCTGGTCCAGGTGTCCTTCTCCAGGCCCAGCACAGCACGGGTTCCCCTCTTCACCAGCACAGCCCGATACAGGGCTCGGTGCCTGGTGAGGGTCCCTGGGGGGAGACCTGCCGGAAGAGACTTACTCCACTTAATAGCATGGTGATAGTGGGCCGGCAGCGTCTCCGCCTTGGGCCCGGCGTTGGACCACGACGTCAACAGACGTCTCATGGGCAGGGCCAGCCACAAGTGAACAAAATACTGGTGGGGGTGTTCTAGGGGAGCCACCAGACGTGCACAGATCTGGGAGAAGAACAGGCAGTCAAGCTTGAGAGGGAAGTCAGGAACATCCCTCCCCCCACTGTCCTTTCCAAGGTACATCACTTCCCTCCTCACATACTCATACCTGCCGCCCCAAACAAGGTTAAACACATCCTTAGTTA